GCTGCCAGTGCCCCTCATCAGCATTGCTGGGGGGCGCTTGCTAATCCACTTCTCTTCAGCACCGCATAAAGGTGGGTGGCTCTACCCGGGAAGAGGCTCTTTGTCTTCAGTCTTGCTCAACAGCTCCTGCCTGCGCTCCCAGGAGCAGCGAGAGAAGACGAGTCAAGTGAATCAACGGGATTTTTTTCCCCTTTTCCTTGCAAAATTTCCATCATGGGCAAAAGCATCCATGAGGACGGCCCCGGCAGGGCAGGGGGGAGCAGCTCGTGCATCCTTGCAGCCCAGGCTGCCTGCAGCCCTCTCCTTATGGCTCTATTTTCATCCCTGGACTAATTTTGAACATTGTTGTATCTGCTTCCCTGGGCTTAATTCTGCAGGGCCTTGTCTGCCCCAGGCCAAGCACTTCCCAGCAGGTATGGCCACTGCGGGCTATCTGGGAGGAGAAGTCTATCCCCTCCATGCCAGCAGGCATTAGTATCCCTCAGCACATAGTAAGAAGTTCAAAAAAAAGTTACAGCTTACTAGAAATTCACTAAGGAAAAAGAGATGTGGTCAAAAAGACATTTAAAATCTCGCCTGAATGGCTGGAGCTGGGGTGCTGTAATGTGAGGGTGAAAGGGGGGGCTGGCAGACTCCTCATTCAGCTGTGGCTCTGACAGCTCAAAATGCCTTTTTCTCCCTTGTACAAAATAATTTCCTGTGACAGTTCATCATGTAGCCAGCCTTAAGGAGGAGAGAGCAGAATATTATTCTTAGTAATAGAACAGTCACTTCAGCACGATTACCAACACCACGGGAACAGTTTCTATGGCATAATGCTGTTGTCGGTAATTACTTATATCCAGTTCTGTAACTCACGAGGAATATGCAATGACAGGGCCTCGTGCATTGGGGAACCGCATGCAACGAGCAATATTTTTCATGTAAATAAAGGAAACAAATTAAGTACAGATAGTAGGACTGTATTTCATTCATGCAGTCGTATTATTTTGGAGGTACCGCGCATGCAACCCAGCTATTATGCTGATGAGTGAAACAGGTTCGTCAGATTTCTTTCTTTTCCCTTTGCTTGAAATGTTTGATGCCTATCAAACGATGCCGGCGGGGGGACGTGCCGCTTCACACCTCCGCCTGCCGCTCGGGCCTTGCCTGGGATCCCCCCCCCCCCCCCCCCGGCAGCCCCGGGGTGGGGGGTTTGGGGGGGCTGCTCCTGCCCCTCGGAGCCACGGGGAACGTTCCTGCTCCCGGGGGGGGGGGGGGGGGCTGTCACAAGCCGGGGCAGGGAGCGCTGGCCGCCCCGCTCCCCGCAGATGTGCGAGGACGCGAGACATTTTAAAATAGTACATCTGTTCGGCACTTATCTCCAAAGGGCTGTGCAAGGTTTTAATTAATGCTTCGGTTATGGCCGGGGGGGAAGAGCTGGCAGAGGGAGGGGTGACAGCCGGCCCTGCCTGGCTGGCTCGCTGGAAGCCCAGAGTTTTCGGGGAGCGGGACGGCCCCTCGCTGCGCTTGCGGTTAGCTGCAGCACTTGCAGCTCCGGAGGCGCTGGCGGTGGGTTTTAAGTGCCTTCCAGGTCATTACAGGAGGGGGTTTTAGCGTGATAGATATTTTTATCTATAAGTTTATTTATTTTTAAAATCCCTGGGCTGTGTTTAAGAGGACAACGGGTCAATAGCATTTACAGCCCTCCAGGTTTTCCAGAGAGACTTTTGTAACAAGACCTTTGGTCCTGGCGTGCCGTCCCTATGTCTTGTCCTTCCTTCAGAAACCTCAACCAGGGAGACCCCAGGGACTAGCCGGGCAAGCGCTGAAAGGTTTTTGAGTGTTGCCATGATCTAACTGGTGAGCAAATGAGATTTTTCTCTATTTCCGTGTCTCTTTATGTTCGTTAAACCCCTCTTAGCAGTCATATTTGGGTAGTGTTCGGACAGAAATCAATTTTGATCGGAACTGTTGATTTTCATTACCCAGATGATTTCTTTTTAAAATGCACTTTTTTCCTAAGGACACTTTGGAAAGTAAAACTATATTTACCACAAATGTATAACTATGCAAAGAGAGAATGTCTTATCTTCAACTTTTTCACCTCTATTCAAACATTATTGGAAAGCACTGAAAAATGGAAAGGCAGAAGAAATGAAGAAGAGGAAAAAATCCAATTGAATTCCAAAATGCAGCACCTGCCCCCTGCTCCTGGCTGCACTTTGTGAGGTGCAACAGCCCAGAGCAAGATTGAACGTACTCGGCATCTTCATCCCAACAAATGCCATCGGGTTTGTGGCTGGAGCAGCCTCAGTGCCCTGATAACCTGATTGCCAGCAAAACGACACGTAGCCCTCCTGTCTCCCCAGGAGCTGGTGTGGGGTTGTGGTGGGCACCAGGCTCCCACCAAAGCCCCTCTGTCACCCCCCCTCAGCTGGGCGGGGGGAGAGAAAACGTAACCAAAGGCTCGTGGGGCACGATAAGGACAGGGAGGTCACTCAGCAATTACCGTCATGGGCAAAACAGACTCGATTGGGGAAAAATTAATGTAATTCGCTACCAATCAAATCAGAGTAGGATAATGAGAAATAAACCAAATCTTAAAACACTTTTCCCTCACCCCTCCCTTCTTCCCAGGCTCAGCTTTGCTCTCAGTTTCTCTACCTCCTCCCCACCAGCAGCACAGGGGATGGGGTTTGTGGTCGGTTCATCACCCATTGTTTCTGCCGCTCCTTCCTCCTCCCGCTCCTCCCCTGCCCCAGCGTGGGGTCCTTCCCACGGGAGACAGTCCTCCACAAACTTCTCCAGCGTGGGTCCTTCCCGTGGGTTGCAGTTCTCCCATGAACTGCTCCAGCGGGGGTTCCTTCCAGGGGCTGCAGTCCCTCAGGATCAGACGGCTCCAGCGTGGGCTCCTCGTGGGGTCCCAGCCTCCTTCGGGCATCCCCTTGCTCCGGCGTGGGGTCCCCCACGGGCTGCAGGTGGGTATCTGCTCCCCCGTGGAGCTCCACGGCTGCAGGGGCACAGCCTGCCTCACCATGGTCTTCATCACGGGGCTGCAGGGGAAGCTCTGCTCCGGCGCCTGGAGCTCCTCCTCCCCCTCCTTCCTCACTGACCTTGGTGGCTGCAGGGTTGTTGCTCTCACTCCTCTCTCCAGCTGCAGTTTCTATTGCGCAGTTGTTTTTTTGCCTCTTCTTAAATACGTTATCCCAGAGGTGCTACCACGGTCGCTGATGGGCTCGGCCTTGGCCAGCGGTGGGTCCGTCTTAGAGCCGCTGGCGTTGGCTCCGTCAGACAGAGGGGAAGCTCCCAGCAGCTTCTCACAGAAGCCGCCCCTTGTAGCTCCCCCCCCCCCCCCCCCGCTACCAAAACTTTGCCACGCAAAGCCAACACAGGGGTTCTGCTCAAAAGCAACGTCCTGAAACCACTTCTCAGTGTTACCTTTGGGAATTAAGGGCAGACTCCAGCCAACCTTTTCCGAAAGCACGTTACAACGTCGCTGTATCACGGAAACGCTTTACGTTCGTCGCACGGAGGGAGGTGTTCGCGTGGGAACGAAACCAGGGCCACCTCGTTCCAGGTCCCCCGGGGGATGCACAAAGGCAAACGCTGCCTGCTGGGTCCTGGAAAATCACCTCTTCCACCCCAGACGCGGGAGGGATGTACCTGATCCAGGCGTTTCCCTTTCCCTGTGACAGGTTTGCGTTATGGTCTTGAGATACAGGGGGTATTTTGAAAAAAGGCCTGTCGTTTCTGGATTTTAAGGCTTCCCCCTCTGTAAATATAAACCTGGGCTGAGGGGACAGCACCGCAACACACTCCAGGTGACTTTGATGTGCAAAGCCTCAGCTCAGAGAGCTCCTAAAGAGCAGAAGCTGCCTCAAAACCGAATTAAAGCTCCTCTGATTCCACCACAGCAGGGTCTGGTGGGGGACGAGCAGCGGCTTCCCACTGCATTTCGCCTCATTCCCGTTCAGTATTTTTAGCTCCTGCTATTCTGCAGCTCCCGGTTCTCCGTGCTGCCGGCTCCGTGCCGCAGCTGAGCCCTTCACCTGGCAGCCCTGTCCCCTCTCGCCCTGCCTCCCGAGAGCTGCCAAAACAAACACTCCCTTCCTCGCCCCTTTGGGTCCCTGCCAGCCTGCACATGCTGTGCTCGAACGCTCTTAAATCTGTAGCCAGAGAAACATGTTAATGTACAAATTAGTCAGAGTAATTGAAACATCTCAATCCTGCTTGTCCAGGTCCTATTTAGAGCAAGAAGTCGACGACTGTAAAACTCAGACACCGAGCAGGAATCCGAACCGCGTCAGCACCTCCGAGGCACCGGCAGCAAACTCTGGCTGATGGACCCCAGAGCCGATGCCTCGGGTGGGCAGGAGCCAGCCCGGTCCCCCCGCTCCCTGCCAGGGCTGCTAAAAGCCCTGGGGTGCCCACCCCGTCCCTCGCTGCTGCAGAGCGTGGCACACAGGGGCTCCCTGTACGCCCCGGGGTATGGCCTGTAGTCCCTTCCAAAGGCTTTGGCACCCGCTGAGGTTGGTCGGGGCAGCCTGGTGCTCGCCAGAATTCAGCCCCGTGCCCGGACGGGTCCGAGCCAGGACCCGAACGCAGCGTGGCACCTGAGGGTCCCATCCTGCTGCGAGGGGGTGACCCCGCTGTCCCAGTCAAAGCGGGCACGGCGCCGGTGACTCAGGCCATCGGGCACGGGATGGGGCTGGATGGCCCCGGTCCCCACGCGTGCTGAGGCCGGTGGCCGCCTGGCACCTCTCTGCCCCGGGCTCCCCTCGCTCCTTGGGGTTCAGAGCTGGCTGAGTGCAGCCCATAACCCCCCGGCTGGCCCTGGGAATTGGGGTGACGAGACCCCTGGGGCTGCCAGGAGCACAGAGAGAAGGGGATGCTGCAAAGGATGCCTCGTATCCCTGGGGCTGAGGGATTGGGTGCCGCCGCCTGTTCTGCTGGGACACAAGACCTCTGGCAGAACCCCCCCACCCCGGCCGGGCAAATCCCCGACGGCGCTGACTTACCGGTGGCAACCGTCGACATCCTCGCAGCCTCGGGGGTCTCAGGGGGCTGTGGGCAGCAGCCCCTAACATGGGAGCCCATGGCACGGCCCCGGGGGCTCAGCTTCCCCCCAGGAAGGGCCGGGGGGAGCGGGGCAGCGCTGCGCTCCCCAGCATCGCTGGCGTCGCCACGGCAACTGCCGACTGACTCAACGCTCGTTTATGAGTGACATCAGAGATGTGGAGGAGGGGGCCGGGGGCTGGAGGGGCTGAGGACGACGCCAGCAGCGGATATTCCCTGTTTGGTTTTGCTGGTTAAAGCTGGAAGGTTTTGTGCAGGGAAAACATCCAGATCCAGCACCCGCCCCGGGCTGCGTCTCGCTGGGGTCCTGGTGTTATTTTGCAGGAGACCCACAGAATCAGGAGGGGAGCAGATGCTGGAGCCCCTCCGTGGGTCAGCTCGGAAAGCTGTGGGGTGCTGGCAGCTGGGCACAGAGGGGGCTGGCCAGGAGGGACACCCCAGGCAGACGAGGCCCCGCTCTCTCCCTCCTCGATTCTGTCCAAAACACAACCCGATTAAGGAAACCAGTTTAGAAATCGCTTGCCTTGACTGGCTTCACCTTCATGCCGGGCACACGGCCGGGGGCAGGTCCCCTTCAAGGGGCACATCGAGCTCCTTGTGTTTGGTGATGCTGCGCCCGCACCCGGGAGGCACTCGCAGCTCCCCGGCGCCAGCGGCACGGCACCGTCACGCCGTGGGAGCTGAAAAGTGGCCTCACTCAGAAATTAGTCAAGAAGAATTTGAAGCACGAGCTGGGCACGTGCACGGCGGGGTTTAGGCACCACCACGTGCAAACGCTTCACATCCGGACGTTTTTCAGAGCGTTTTGGCAGCACCTTTGCGCGCAGTGCTGCCGCGTTGGGCTCTGTTACGCACCACCAGCGCTGACACTCTGTCCCTTCTTGCTCACAGGCTCCGTTAAATCGAGCCCGATGAGACAGAATGAAATATTTTTAGTAGGATGAGAGTCCTGCACGAGGCTCTGTTCTTAGCAAGAGCAGTGCCAGGTCAGACAGTGATGCAGCAGCTACGCGATCTCCAAGAAATAAACTTTACTCAGCCCTCTGCGGGAACAGCCCCAGGGACATCACTCACACCCCGCCCCAGACACCCTCTTGGAGGCTTCTGGGTCCCCCCTTACGTGAGGCTGGGATCAGGGAACCCAACACTTGGGGCTTTTATTTTTAGCACAGCAAACTATAAATACGGTAACCCACAGAAATCTGAGCGACTTCTTGGCCTGGGAAATGACAGCACCGGGGAAGCCCGCGGCGGCCAGAGCTGCCAGGCCAGTGGCCCATCGCTGGGGCTCTGGCAGGAAAGGCACCGTCCCCCTGCCAGACACCCGGCCTCGACAGAAATAAAAGGCCCTTCAAGCTGCTTCTGGGCACGCTGCTCCCGCAAGGGGGGAGAGGGGGCTGGCGGGAGGAGCGGGCTGCCACCATGCCCTGCCTGCGCTGGCAGGAGAGGGGAGAGGAGGGATGGGGAAGGATCACTCGTGGGTCAGAGCACAGATTTCTCAGAGGATTGTGCACTTTTTCTTTCCCTGGTGAGTCTTCGTGTGTGGGAACAGGGGAGGAAGGCACTGGTCTGAGAGTAAATGAGGAGAGCACCCCGTGATTCATCGCACGCAGCCTGGCAACGAGCTCCTGTGTAGGGGAAAACACAGATGGAAGAGGGCTGCTGCAACGCCGAGCCAGCAGCATGGAAATAATCGGCTGGGGTCCTGCGAAGGATGATTTAGAAGGGTCTGAACTATTTTCCTTTTCTTGCACACTTCCTGGAGGAGCCGTGCAAGGCATGGAGGGGTCGAGCAGCCCACAGCACCCCGTACAGGGACCATGTGGGAACAGAGCAAAAAAATCTCCTCCCATGTGCCAAGAAATCCAGAGTGACGTCCCAAACCCCCCGCAACCCTCACACGACGGGAAGGGGTCGAGGAGGCTGCGCTATCCCGAGGGCTGCCCTGCACAGCAGCGTCGAGATGCAGCTCAATAATTCAACAAAACTTGGGGTGTGTGGGAGCTGCTGTGGGTACGGGACTCCCGGGCACAGATTCTCTGCGGAGCAGCACTTAGAGGACAAACGGAGGCTCACTGCAACATAAAAGTGGTTTATGCTCGAGCTACGGCTCTCATAAGCCAAGTAACCACATCATGCATAAGCACTGCGTCTTACATGAATAATTTTTTTTTTTTTTCAGGGTGCACCAGCAGCCCCGAGACGCTCAGCCAGCCCTCGCCAAGAATTAAGCGCAAAGCCTCACAGAGCCCTGGCACCGAACCAGCTCCAGCAGCTCCGCGCGCGGAGCTCGTTATGCGCCTGCTGATGGGCATCGTCGGCGAAACCGGTTTGAAGGGCTGCAGCTCTTCCCTAGGGCGGCACCTGGGGAAGAGGCAGCGCTGCATCCCCGGGGTGCAGGAGCTGCGCAGGACCCCCACGACACGGGGTTTGCATCCTACCAGCTGCTGCATTCAGCCCAGCGCCCTGCACAGGGGAGGCAGCGGCCGCGCTGCTGGAGCCCAGCACCCAGAGCCACCAGTGACTCCCGCAGAGCCCCAGGCTCTGAACTCAGGCTTTTTTTTTTTTGTTTGTTTTTGGGGCTCCTTGGCCAGCCATCTGATTTATACCCTTAGGTTTGAGAGAGCTGGTCACCTCTCCAGGTTTATTTTGGTCCGGCGTGGTTTTGTCCAGCGCATCTCGAGTTACTGATGGCCCTCCCCCAGCTCCACCAGTGACCGGATTCCTGGTGACACTGGATACACGGGGCTTGGGCGCTGCTGCCCCTTCTCAGGTCACGCTTGCTGGCAGTTGTACCAACGCTGGTTGCACACGTATGTGACCAGACCTGCCGGTTTTCAAACCCTTTTTCAGGACCGAAGCCCCAGCGACGGTCCAGCTCCCAAGTGCAAGTCTCGCAGTTAAAGTGAAGGCTTGGGAGCAGGGAGAGAAAAGAATTTGCCCTGTTAATTCTGCCCCAAACCCACTCCCCCTAGAAGAAAGCATCCCCATCAGCTTCCAGAGCTGCTGCTTCCTTTGGCCAATTCCTCTCTTCTAGTAAAATCACCATTAAAAAAATAAAAAATAAAAAAATAGCATGATCAAGCAGAGAGCAAATGATTGGATTGTCACAGAGGGGACTGCAGCCTCGCCGCGAGCGCATCGGGCTGCCGGGGCGTAGGAGCAACCAGGGGCGGCATCTGCCCTTTCCTTCTGCTTCTCTAGAACCAATGCCAGGCACACACAGAGGAGCCGGCCAGGTAATTGTAGTAATTGTGCAAAATCTGGCTCCTTTTTGCGGGTTAGCGGGGCTACCGACCGCTGCTCCGGGGGGAGAGGAGCGAGCGCAAGGAAGGAGAAAGCCCGAGCGCTGCTGGGGGAGGCTCCGGCAAACCGCCCGGTGAGGGAACGACTCTCTTGCCCCACCACGTGTGGTGGTGGCAATGCCTCAACCCCAAGTTGCGTTTCCACAGCCGAGTGCCCCCCCCCAGCACTTACCTCTCCCCCACCCTCGGCCGGGCTGGAGGCGGCTCTCGGGCCGGGAGCCTCCCGCCTTGTCGCTGCTGGAGAACGCCAGCGCCACAGCTCCGCGCCGAAAGCGCGCTTCTCTGCCCCAGAGCCGGCAAACACCACGCCGGTTACAACCCATCTTGTCACTCAGATAGCAGCACTTTTTAATTTTTAAGGTGTGGATTTCTGCCCGGACCTGCTGTACCAGTTTAGGTTCAGAAGTACCATTCTCTAACGATACACCCCAAGCTGCTTTAAGGGGTTGTTTTGGTTTTAATTTTAAATTAGTGGAGAGCCGGGACCTTTGAACTGTCCTGCAGCCTCCTGCTAATCTGTGTGTGCATTAAAGGAAATCGGAGTTAGGGTCCACCTAGCACCACGAGAATACCTGCATTCGACACCACCACGTTTACAAACCTGCGCTGAACAAGCAGCACTTAGATGGCTCATACACTAACCCTGCATCCCGTGCAAGACGCAACGAAAATTACTCTGAACACCTCACCAGTTGCTGGAACGTGTGCTAAACAAACAGCCTGCTGGCAGGTGCTCTTCCTTGCCCCGAACGCGGTGTGAAAATGCTAATAACCCCCCCCTCTCCTTTAGCAAAATAACCTCACACGTTTCCACTCTTAATCAGTTGCCTCCAAGGCAACCCCACACACGTGGGCAAGGCTCGGAGGCGCTTCCCAGCTCCCTGCCAAGCAGCCAGCACCAGCGCTGGCACCACAGAACCCAGAAGGGCACTTTGGTTTCATCACGGGCAGGTTGCTGCTGCCCACCCCGCCGCCAGCTGCTATTTGCTCAAGCTGTTTTCCTTAAGGAGGGTTCCCTCGTTGCGGAAGAAAAGGCTTCCAATTTATCAGTCAACAACCATCAAGATAAATCCCTCTGCAATGGCACGCGCCCATCCCGGGGGATCACCCAGGCTCCTTTCGCACAGCCCTCGCAATGAATCTTACCAACGCAACTTTTCCTGGAAACTAGGGAAATAACTTCCAGGTGCAAAACCAGTTATCGACCCAGGATTTCCCACCAGGTTTCTGGACCAGCTCACGAAAGATCTTCTGTGAAAATTCCAGCGGTCTGCAGCTACAAGGAACACCGAAGGATGTGGGTTCCTAAACCTTTGCTGCTCCTGAAAAGGACGTTTCAGAACACCTTGTAATAAATCAAAAAAACTTTTATTTTTAAGATATATTATAAATTTACAACACACATAACATCAGTGTCTTCAGTGTGTATGTGTGAGCAGGTTTAAAGACTCAGCATTCATTCCAGTCTCGTTTGTGGGTACGACTTCTCCACCCGCTAAAGGTCCACAGTTGTTTCGGCCTGAACGGGTCTGGCCTCGCTAACAACCCTGATAACTTCCAGGAATATATTTCAACAGGCAACAGCAACTGCTTAAAAAGATCATAAATGAGCAGCATTTCTTGCTTTTTGCCTGGAGGCCTACTCTAAGGGAGCAAAGCCTGGCGGCTTCCCCGCTCAGGGAGAGGTCAGCGACCCACACGAGCGCGTCCAGAACGAACCCTGAATTCCACAGGCTCAGTGGCGTCCGCCCCAGTTAAGCTTCATCAAAGTCACGTTACATCTTAGAAACAGCTGTGCATGCCACGCATCAGTGTCAGTGCCATATAAAAAATTATCGTATGCTGTACCTCATTATTTTATGCACAGGTGAAATGAAAAATATGTCAAGTCAGTACCTTGCAATATAATTTTACTGGTGCTGCCTTGTGGTTAAGTGCTGGATAGCAAATCACATTCCCGTACAGTTCATTAAACTATGATAAAAATACGCAAATTAAAAATCTCTCCAGGCCTCTGTTACCTGCTGTAACAAAGACGCTTTGTTTTGTGGGGCTTAGTTTAAAACATGATCCAATTTCCTCCCTCTCCCCAGAGCATGATATAAAACTATACCTAAATTCAGTAAGAATTTAATGCGTTTACATTTATTGAAGTTCACATGCTGCAAACAGGATCTGCATTGGAGATCTTCAAATCTAGGGCAAGAGGTCCTCAAAAAACCCCTTTGGTTATACCCGGCTGTCAGGATGCAGGTGAGAACAAGGGCCAGGAGAGCACGTTCACACGGACAGCACAGCCCCTGCTCGCTGCTCCCCCTGCGGGGGGGTGGGGGTCACCCCCCCCCCCGGCCGAGCTCACTGACAACAGCCAACACAAATCCTTCAGGCAAATAAATCGGCCCCGAGGGGAGGATACAGTCGGTGGTTTGCTTATGCCTCAAAGCACAAGGACTTGCAATCGGATGGAAATACCCAGCTGCAAGTGCCGCTATTCTCCTAGTTCATAAAAACGTTATTTATTAAAAGTAGAAAAACAGGGTGTTTACTTTGGATGAAACACTCGCTATCCTGTGCACGCGGCTTTCAGAAAATTGCCACTGAAGTAGAGATCCCTGGTAACCTCTGCATCTCTTCCACAGGCAATATTTGCTGACAGTGTTAGAATACATTCGTTTGGTGCAATGCTTATTTAAACAACTTTCAAAGGACATTAAAAGATCTTCAGCCCAAGTATCACAATGCCTAAAAAAAAAATAAAAATAAAAATAATTGTAACAGTCCTAACTAAAAGGGATTTCAATAACCACCGAAGTGTTTCTTGGATATGAAGATCCATCTCCAAAAGACAAGTTTGGTTCCAGGAGAATGAGGCAAGAAATGGGGGTCAAGGTTCCAGGACACATCTGCGACCGGGGCTGTGAGCAGCCAAAAAGCAGCAATTACCTGGAGGTTTCAGAGCTCTTGCAGGAGCGAACCTTGCACCTTCCCAGAAGAGCAGGAGAGCACTGATGACTGCTTTAGAACCTGTGCAAGTTCATTTTCCAGCTGCATGGAGAACAGAAGCGTCCTTGAAATGGTGTAAAGTTCAGCAAACTGTGACGTGGGTAATCTTGTGTGACCGCTTCCAGAGAGCGATGCAGCAATCTTAGAGGAAGACTCATGTCACTGCTCACAAGGAGAGACAGAATGGCAGATTCTTTGGACTGGACCAGACACGAGAGGTTTATTAGGAGAGTTGCGCTAGCTCAAGCTCACAGGTCAAGACAATCAAGGTCCAAGTTGTAAAGTAGCCACTGGCATTTTTTCCAAATACATCCCTTTAAATGCAGCCCCCTATAAAGAGAGTATAAATATGAAGCCCTGAGAACAAACTTCCATATAGTACATTTCTATTAAAAATATCAGTGTTTTGATGACAAAATTATAAGTTATATATATTTAAATAAACAGCTAGCTAGCTTTCAAGAGTCATGTAATATCAAAAGGTAGAAGATTGTCTGTGTCAACTGATGGGGCAAAGAGCTAGAACTGTAAGAAACAGACATTGTATTAACCACCTACCACCCCATTTCCTTACTACTTGATTTCACAGGCTTCCCAATATTGCCTTGACCATGTTATGAGACACTTAAACAGGACATGTCTTTGCTAGTTATAACTTGAACACCAGAGATGCAAGCACGGGACCTGAACCTGTAAAACCTTACTCCTGTAAGTTCCTCCTCACAACAGCTTTTTTTTTTAAAAAAAAAAAAAAAAAAAAAAAAGAAAAACATCTATTCCCATGTGCTTAGGGACCTCTCACCGGCTTACAGACCGGATCCACCAGTCCTCTACCCTTCAGCCACAGAACAGGACATTTTATCACCAGGCAGAGCTCTTGCCACACACACTCCTCCTGCCTGGAGACCCAGCTGCACATGCTGACTCAACAGCAGATCTTTCATTTTTTTTTTTGCAAGTTTTGTAAAAACTGGGATAATCAATGCCTTTGCAAGCCCAGTGGACTTGACTCGTGCCTCATTTACTGTGACGAAGTAGCAATACACACAGGTGTGACAGGGGGACACAGCTCCCTTGTCTGCTACTAATTCATACCTTGACACCACCCCTGTCTTGAACAATTCCTCCGGTGTTCATTTAAACCTCAAGGGTAGTTTCTGTGTTTCAGATCTGCTCCTGTGCCTTGCTGCAAACATCACACCTCCTAAGTTCTGGCCTCTTTCAGCTATTGGCCACTGGGAACTTACGTTCTCACAAGACAAGCAGGACTACGTTAAAGCCATACCAAGCAAGAAGACTGTTTGCCAGACCAGGAAGAACACACTCTCCAACACTTCAGCTGTGCAAGTGCTGAGCTCTGGAATAACAAACCCCAGAAATAACCACATATTCTCAAGTCTTTGAGCACTTTAAAGATGCAGTATTCCTTTATCCCTAAGGTCTCCAAATGCTGCTGCAACTTTACATTATGTTGGTGAACCTGGGCATTCTTACCCCCTTCTACTACGTGAGCATGATTTGTTTTACTGATTTTTCCTCAATTTTATAAAAGGTTCAGTGGCACTGATTCTGCTCTGGCACGCTCACGGGAGGCAGCTCTGATAACTTTTACCACCCTGATCAAACCGACACTGAAGAACACGCACAGTTCACTGGCAGGTCCTGGCAGCACCAACCCTCCGATCCCCTCGCTGTGGGGTTGATGAAGAGATACACAAGAAGCAGAACCTTTACCCTTAGAGACGAGCCACTCTGCTCCTCCAAAGCAGGTCAGACACCACGTTTCAGGAATGGGCCCAGCTTCAACCCCCTAAAAGCTGGGGAAGCTGGTTCAAGTTCATCACCTGCTTTGCCCCGGCAGCAGCGACAGAGAGTTCTGGGGGCAGCTCCTCCCATGCCAGCACAGGCAAGAGGGGTTGCTCCCTCTTGCTGCATGGCTAGTCCCCTAGGTTCTGCCAGCAAAACAGATGTCAAACTTTTAGATGACTCTAAAAGTTGAGCCATGATTCTTGCCTGGTCTGTCTGGGAGCTCTACAGCCACTCCAGAATCGGATCATGTACTACTGAAATCAAAAGAAGCATTTCAACAAGCTTTTACATTCTGCAAAGACCAAGGCTGCTACCAAAGTATCTGCTGGTTACGTCTGAACCTGTACTTACTCACTCAGAAGCCAAATCCCCCCCCTCAACAAACTATAGGGTAGTTCTTCCCAGCTTTGGCTTTTAAAAACACTGATTAAAAAGAATATTTCCAAGAATCCTGATTGGCAGAGAAGGACATGTGCTTCTAACATTAAGAGCATCAAGAAATAGTGACTTCCAGTAGTATTACAGGCAAAAAAGCTGCAGGGAGTAAGAAAAAAAAAGGACAAACTCAAACCCTTTCATAACACTACAGCACTCAGTCACAACTACTCATGAGTAGTGCTGAACTCACTGGGTTGCAGGATCAGGTTCCTGGCTTTTAGGATAAGGTTACAATTTAATGTCATGCTGTCAATCTGTCCTTAGCATGAATCCAGGAAAATGGTTTTACTGTCCAATTTGAACAGAAGAAGCATCTCTATAAAGCTCGGAGTTTCTAAAGGTAACAGTAAATATTTCAACAGTCATGACCTGTAAAGCTTCATATGAAATTACAAATAAAAATCCTGGGATAATAAGTCAAGATAAAATCTCATGCTGTTTTGATTTCCCAACCCTTCATATTAATTATGTGAAATTGGCAACTTCAGTGCCTTGACTGCATAACAGCATAGATTAGATGCCAAGTTCAGGCCAAAACTTGTTACAGGGTTTCGGGTTGCATCTTGTTTCATTTTTTTTTTTTTTTAAAAAAACAAAACAAAACAAACCACAAACCCAAACCAAACCCAACCATACAAAAAAACCCCACACTTAAAAAGGTGACTTGCAGAGCTGTTCAGGATCTCTCTATCTGACAGGACACCTTCGTGCTATTTAAGGACAGGGTCTCCGTCTGGTTACTCTGCATTTTGGGGAGGCAGGTCTTGCCTAGCCTGCCTTTCCAAAAAAGGGCTGTTGAGGCATGGGACATGGCAGGGATCACGACAGATGTCAATCATGTTTCACTAATTTGAAAATAAAAACCATTTTTGTTCAGACTTTTTTAAAACACTTTCAGAGTCCAATCATAAAATCGAGCTGGATATTCAGCGAGTTCTATTCTTAAAAGCTCACAACTCCCATCTGAAATCTCAAGTCAGTCTCCTAACAAAATAAGAAAGACACAGCCTGACATTCTTGGTATTTCAAAGGTAAAAATAAGTGTCAAGAAAAGCCACTGCTATCTCAAAGAAAGTAATTTCAAGCGTGCTTTGAAATACGTGAAACAACATAAAAACCTAAGCGGTTCTGCTTCTTTACAGATCACCAATGAAAACCCCATGCAAATTAGTTGCTTTTTTGTAAACAGTTTGAAACAAAGTCAAAGCCCCACAAATCTCCCTTTCTAAAACCGTGCACGTAAAAATGGAAAAAGCCCCACTACATGACTATATCCCTCCTTGCACTAGGATATGGCAGAGTATAAACTGCAGCCTACTTGAGAATCCAAGTTTCGGTGCACTGAGTTCTGTCATGGAAGAGATACTGCATCTTTAATGTAGCTGGCAGAGAATCTCCTACAAGTATAACCATAGTGGGACTGTAACAACACTAATGCGGAAAATAAATAGGAAAAAGTAATGCTATTTATTAAAAGAATTCCATCTCTGAATTTTTCTGTTTAAATTATAATGCAAGATAAGCACGTTTGGATAGAAAGGTGCTTGCTCTCCCAATATTTGGACTTTTAAAAAACGTTTCCTAAGAATCAATTTTAAAAGGCATTTTATAATTTGACATAGCCATAAATTAATACTGTATGGAGATGATTAATATCCTATGCTAGTGGTCAGTGACCTCTTGTAAACACTAGCCAGATGCTAGCAACACTGACTAGAAAACTACTGTCACGGGCCTTTTCAACAAGCAATATCGGATTTCTTTCCAACAATCCGATTCTTAATTGTTTTCACAAAACCTTTTCCTATTTTTATTTCCAACCTAATAGCTGAAAACATAAACAAGTCTCCCAACCTCTTCCACTAACACTAAATCCACAAGGCAATTAACTTCAGTTGGCCATAACTACATAAGCTCTCGTGCGAGAGACCCGTCCAGACAGGATCCCCCCGCCCCCCTGTCCATCCGCCCCCCCCCCAAACAATCCATGCACCCTCCCGTTGAGGCGAAGGTGAAGCGAGGGACAGTAGGAAGTGGCACAGTGGACTGGCATCCCCCTCTACGTGCGATTCAGCGTCTGGAAGATTCGAGAGATCTGTAGCATGACAGGCCCAGTTTCTGGATCGTTCATCCACTGAGTGCTGTTCAAGGGGTTTTCAAGCATATCCTCGAAGGCTGCCAAGAAATGGAAATCGCAACATTTGATTAGTCCTTGCGTCAAAGGCTTCAACGCTTGGGATGCTTCAGCAACAGGACAGTTAGAAATAGCTACAACTCCAAGGCGAGCATCACCCAGACCCCGTGGGAATACTCATCATACATTTACCATTTGCACTCCTAAGTCTCCAGAGCCTGGGATGGTACAGGTTGTTATGCTTTACCCATTCCTCAGCACTAAATTCGCTGCAGACGGAGGCTGATTAAATACTCAGCCTGGATTACAGTCCATCTCACAAAACCTCAAGGACGTGGGTCTGAAGAGCTAAAGCCTTAGCAAACGTCTACAGGCAGCAGCAGGGAACCTGCTATGCAGTTCACACATTTACGAAAGCCCATCTTAGAAGTGGGTCATTTGCTGCCAGTACTTCTATGGGAAGAGTCTTCTGCAATTTCTTTAATCAAAGATTTTCTCCATCTCAGCCTAGATTTCTTAATGGCTAGTTCTTGCACCAGTATCTTTTTCCTCCCTGGTACCTAACCAGTACAGTCCATAGGAAGCACTGTCACCCCCTTGCCTCTGTCACCTCTGCTTTCCTGTGCTGCACTTTGGTTGTCCTATGGCTGCTCATCTCTGAAGAGAAAACTAAGCCAGTAGAAGAAGCCGCAGGTAAGCCAGGAGCTACCCAGGAATGAGCAGCAGAGACAGCAGAAGCGTAGCCTCCTGAGCTCCCAAACCTCAGAGCTCTATCTTTCCAGAGAGGCCCCTGGAACCAGAAGAGAAGCAACACTCTCCCTCTGAGCAGCATGTGCTTTCTCCTTCCTGGAGCTGGGAAAGCAGAGGATGTCAGGGAGGCAGCCAGCTCCACCTGGCTAGACAGGGGTGGAGGGGAAAAGGCTGTCTGTGCAGACAGTTACCTCCATTTCTGAACAGTGACAGCAATCCGAATATTTAAGAGCAGTTTTTTGTTTCTATACACGGCTATCTTTACAATAAGCTTTGTTGTGAGGGGTTTTTTTTTGTTGTTGTTTAGATGTGCTAGTTCTCCTTCTACTCATGCTGAAAGAACCAGACAGCTACTGCAAGAGCCAAGCTGCAAATCTGGCAGAACAACAGTTCAGGCAATAATTTACAAGCCTCATGACAGACACTGAGCTGGACTACTGGACATTTGGAGCAGTCATTATGGAACAGGACAAAAAAAAAAAAGGCAGTTGCACATCTGACCTATTCAGAACTCACCAAAATGTCAGTGTTGTAAGAGTCTGGCAGACCGGCACCAAGGTCAACATCTTAATTCTGCCAGAAGTGTTGGTGTACAAAGCTCCAGCTGACATTAGTGGGAGCTGTAATTACCCACCAGCACCTCTGAAAGGCTCATCGTTAATACCTTGCTCAAGGTCATGCAACATGCCTACAGAAAAACCCAGAATAAAGCACAGATCTCACCTCTCACCACTTTATATTCTTTTACACAGACCCAAAAGCTTAAAACTAAAGATTTATCAATGTTCCATTAGTATCCAAATAAATGCAAACTTCCATTATTAAAATCTGTGACATAAGCAATTTGCAGATGTATCATCAGGCATATATACTCTGATGTTCATCCAAGCTTTACAAGCACATATAATGGCATTTCATTTTCTATTTATATTCTGAGCTGCAGTGTGGAACCCTCATTGGAAATGAAGAGACCATTTGTTCAGAAATCAAGAGTGGGATGGTTCTGCTCTTGAATTATTTAAAGGCTTGCAAACTCTTCTAATTACATTTAAAGTAGTATTTTTAAATGCTCTCTTGAAAGAGCTGCATGTACACCCTTTATTTGAAAGCACTGCTTCAAATAAATTTTGAAGCTAAAGAATAAATGCAAAATTTTTATATACATCACAGAGCCAAGGTCCTGCTTCTGTATCATTCTCCAGCATCAGAGACCAATTCATCAGAGAATTATGTTTCATTGTTAAGCTCATCAGTTGGGTACTTGCTGTGGTCACAGCCTTTCTGACCATGAGCACACACACTTTAGCACAGAGCTGAAACCCAAGCAAGGGGAAGTGTATTTTTGCATATGTGATCTCAATTTTGATAGGCAGGGCCTTAGCTCAGACTTCTCGTTTGGTTACTCGTTCACTAGTTACCTTCTGTCTCAGTGATCAGGCTCAACACAGTAAGCTGTACAGATGGAGACAGCCTTGTTTTTTCTGTGAAATAATCAGAGTTCTAGACAGACATTCCTGATTTTTCCCCTCGTGGCCAAAGGGAGCACACAAAAGGTCTCCTAACTCCACAAAAGCATTGCAGCCAGCAGCTATTAAAGTTCTGAGTTCAGCAAGTGTAAGCCAGTAGCCCGGGGAATTGGTATCATTCCTGGGACAGCCCCAAGTTCTGTTCTGGGTTCAGCTGAGTTGCAGTATGAAGCAAACAAACAATACAGCTGCTGAAAAGTGAGGAAAATGGTACAGAGCTGCACCTAGCCCACAAAGCATGCTGTCATCATCCAGTCTCTTATCTGCTAGCAACTATAGAGACAGTGTATGTAACACCAGGAATGCGAGCAGGACTTACCTAGTAGAGTTTTAGGGTTGGTTAGCCCTAACTGTACCACTGGGTTTTCTAAAATGGCTTGGAAGAGAGGGCTATTGGTGTCAATGCCTTTATCTAAGTCCTCTGGAGAAGGCTTTCTGTCTCCCAGCAGCCATTCACACTGAAAGAAATCACCAAACACAGATTTCATAATTGGCTCCATTAGAACAAAAGTGTCTCAAAAGTTTTGACAATGTGGCACATGAAAAATATTTTTTCCTCTCATGGTTAAAGAGAGAGCTATGCATTTCTCTTCATACTAGATTAATATTCATTTCTGTGTTGCTCCCACAGAAATCAACTTTTAGTTCAACGGAAACAGCAGCAGTGTCTGGTACAGTAAAGTTATACCAACTTTGGAAGTTTCAAAGCTCGGGGAAGATGTATGTTACCTTACTTACATACTGCCTCGAAGGAACCCCATCAACGCGGTTACGATGCGGCAGCCTGAAATACCACCCAGCCCAATATCCTCTCTCTAATAACAGCCAGCACAGGATGCTTAAGAAGAGAAGATTCCTTGGCTGTCATCAGTGTCCACATAATTTTCCTTAACATAGCATCCACTAGCAGGGGACTAATCAATCTTTAAAAATCTTCATATTTTTTGATTCCATAAACTGGGGAATGCGTTGCTGCTGAATGGTAATCTACACAGTGCATAGCTTGAATCTCTTGCTTCATCATTTACTCCTGCCCTTTAATCAGTTATTATTTGGAATACTTTTCCTTTCTCGTGATGGCTTGGCCTCCTTTGCAGACTCTGGTGAGGGAGTTTCTCCAAAGCTTTCTGCAAATCCACATATGCTGTCCCAACCAGATCAGCCTCAACCTCGCACTTGCTGAGTTCCTCTAAGAAGTCTAAAACCTCTGTATGCTAGCTGTGTATCTAATCTGAAAGAGTCATAGAATATATAGTGCTCATTTGATCTCCAGTAACAGTTGGCCTTTATGATAGATCAAAACATCAACCAATTTAACAATGAAAAGAATCAGCTGAACAGACTATTACAGCAATAAGGAACAGAAATGACATTGTACTCACGGCTGCGTTCTGCTGGTTGTTGTTTACTCTGAGTGCATCTACCACTTCTTTTTCATCAAATCCCATCTCCATCAGGGCAATGACAGCCTATATCAGATTTGCACAGCTTAATAAATGTAACATTTAAAACAGAAATGAGAACAATCATATCCTTTCACCTTCTGTGCAGGAGCTTTTCGTGGGGTAAAAAACCCGCATTGTTTCCATTTCTACACCACTAAGTAATCTTATCTACAACGTTTTCAGATACCCTGTATCAAAAGTGTCTTTGTTATGGAAAAAGAATAAATCTTAAGAGTGAAGGTAGTTCCTATCCTCAACAGTGAAAGCTGAACACAAGGCAAAAAGCAAGCATACCTGGAGTAGAAAGAGAAGCAGGACAGAAACACCTTATTTTACAACTTTTCTTGTGTCACAAAGCTTTTGCTCACATCTCACTGACAGACCAAGCTTCGTGTACATTTGTAGTTTTATTCATGCAATTTAATTTCACTTCCTCAATTTATTATATTGCTAATGTTATGTATTAAGACAAGTGTAGCTAGATATTGTTATGAGAATATTTAATCATTTAGAAATTGTACCCAGCTCAAATACATTTGCAGCTTTTATAACTGATATCTCAAGGAACAGCTAGCTGTAAAAACAAAGTGCTAGATTCTAAAGAGCACCTCCTGGTGAGTTTACAGTGTGATAACAACACATTTTCATTTCAGCTAATACTGTGTACTGAAAAAAAGGCTGACTTCTGCATATGCTGCAAGACTTAAATCTGCTGGCGATGCCTTTTCTTGCCCCCTAAATACAGTAATGCTCTTCTGTCCTTTTCTACAGCAGAAGGACCTACTCCAGTCCTGCAACCCTTCCTTCCTAGACAGCAGTCATAAAAAGCAATCCCAGAAGTCTGACAGTTCATTGCAGTCCCACCAGTTAATTTTCAGGTGCAGAAGTAACAGTGTCAGTAATCTGGATACTGCTATCTGAGACAGCAATGCATTAATTAGGCAATATCCCTTTCAGCAACCTGAATTTAAACAGTCCCTAAAGACCTCCACTAAAATACTGCCAAACCAGCATAATGTACATCTACCCAGATGTCCCATTTCATTTATTAGCTAAACATTTATTTGGATCCCAGGGTGCCCATGAGTCCTTTCCAATCCTAACAGCTATACAGGGAGACAACCAGCACGTACTCGTGGGTCTGGACGAAACTCTCTTTTCCTCCGGATCTTCTTGAATATTTCCGTCAGCTCGTCCTTGGCCTCCTCCCCACCCGCCTCTGAACTGGGACCCGCAGCTGCTTCAGCAGAGGATGCACCAGCTTCAGCTGTGGCTTCTGATGGAGTCTGACCTGGGAGCGGAGCATCCACTGTGGGGTCATCCGCGTGTTCTATCAACCACTCCATGGCCTGTGTCACAGACATGCTGAAAAGCAAATCAAAACACAGGGATGAGAAACACTCCAGATGTACAGTAGCGTTCCACATACATTTGCCTTTGCGTTTATTCCCATGGTATACTGACTTGCAGGTTAATTAGTATCTGAAGTCATAAATAATAAAGTTTTGGAGCAAATCTCAGAGCACCTTAATTCTCCGTGCGTTCAGGGCTCTGAAATCTCTGAAGCCAGGAAGACAAGAGGAATGAAGTCTGACTTGGACAGCTGCAACCCAGATTTTAAAAGGCGTTTCTGAGGGAGTCACCTTATTCTCCACATCATCTGCTTTATTTCAGAACAGAGAAACACTGACTATTTGCTATTGTTGACAAAACTGCAAACAAAGCATGTTCCAAATTTACATGGGACCACATCTCAGATGCAAGCTGCTTTGTTGCTTCTTAAGATCTCTCTCAGACATCCATCCAGTGATCAAGGAATGCCACTAACAGAGAGTGAAAAACATGTGTGTACAGTATGTCTTGAGTGAGAGCAAAATTCAACACAGGCAATTGCACTTGGACAGGTACCACTCTGTTCTTCCTCCACTCTCACTTAAGAAGAGAGCTGTGATCCTGCAGAGGAGATCCCAGCCCAAGGGTCACGATCAAAACTTGGTCACTTGCTATTGCAGTGTAAGTGCTCAAGTTAAAGGATCTTGCGAGTGTCCCAACACATCTTTCCAATGAATATAGAGGAAAAAGCAAGGATAACAATAGGGCAACTAGACATGCAATTTCTTTTGACACATGGGAATTATTACATGTTCATAGAAAGGAAAGCCTTTGCTTATTTGGCTTTTCAGTTACAACATGAAAGATGGAGGACACTGGGGAGAAAGTCCTTCTGAGCCTCAAGGGAGAGATACTGGAAAAGAGTGATTGCAATAGGTTGTGGATTCTCTATCATTAGAAATTTTTGAGAATGGCCTAACAAACCCCTCAGGAGTGAGGCAGTCCAGCTGATTCTTCTTAGGGCATGAGAAGAACTGCATTACCTCCTATTTTCCTACAGCTGCTATCTGGACTTCACAATATTCTTGGAATGTTTTTAAAAGATCAGCACAAAGTATTTTTCTACAGCTGAAAGACCAATGTGGATGGGCTAGGGTTGCTTTTTGCTCTGTAAAATCTGAATTCTAAAGCGGAAGAAAATGTGAGGTTAATACTTAGAAGCAGTGCCAGCCTGGCAGCCTTGTGAACCACAGACCAGCTATTCTTTCCAGAGCAGGTACAGCAGTTTCCCCTTCTTTGTGCCACCTGCACCTGCGCGCTGCCTGAGGCAGCACTTTCTTCGAGTTAATGCTTTTTCCAACCTAGTTTTAGGTGACCCACATAAGGAGACTTTAGAAAAAAAAAATGCAGATTTTTTTTTTTTTTTTTAACCGTATCAAGTAATTTACAGGCAGTGTGCTGAGTACACTTACTGATTTAATCGAAGGGCTTTGACAGCTCTGCTTTCTGGAAACCCCATTTCTGTAAGCTGTCGCAGAGCTATCTCATCCACTCTGTCTTCCTCATCCTCATCCAGCATGGCTACACATACACAAACAAAACAATGTTCAGATTGACTTCAAGCTAAAATAAACCCCTTTCTCAATGGAATGGCACGTGTTAAGTTCAAACCCCATTCTTCTCTTCCATCCCTTCTTTTGTTTCTGCCCTGAATTTGCTATCTCAACATTTAATCTGCTGCACTCAGCTTGGTCTGGCTCAGAGATTCTTCCAGGGCAAAGACTTTGTCCAGATGTGTTCAAGATCTCAAATAAAAAGACAGCTAACTTTCACATGACCATGGTATAAGTAAATATACGGGAGATTCACTGAAGATCTATTTATCATTTACCTAGAAAGTAAGTCGGATCTGCTCACAGCAGATCCCAAGGGCATTTCCCACAAACTGAAACGACAGCTACACTTTCGCCTCATTTTACCATCTCCTTGTGCACTTCCAAGTATTCTTTATGATCCCTAAAGCATAACTCTCTAATATTTCCAATTTTTTCACTACTAATGATTTTATTTTTAAATGGAACTTCTCATCCATCCCAAAGGGACCTTATAGATTCACAAGTTTTATACAATCTACATCCACAAGGTGAAATCCTTGCCACAAAGTCTGTAGTAGCTTTGCTGTTACATCAAGGTCTGGACTTCACTCTGTGAGCACACTCTTTGGCTACAGAAGCAAACAAGTTGCCAGGATTGAACTAGTAACTACAAAGACGTGTTCATACCATTTGCCTTCTTGAATAGTTCAACTGCATCTGGGTTCAGTGCTAGCAATTTCTGTGCAACTTCGATGAGAGACACTAAGATCTTCCGGAGCTCTGTCTGGAACTGCAAGAAAGGAAACTGTCAAAACATTTAGACAGGAAGTTACCAGATATCACTGAATCTTAATACATCTATTGTTAGTATCTCAGCAGTAGTCTGGCCCCTTGTACAGAAGGCTGCTTTATTAGGGGTTTATTTTGCATTATTCAGTCTCTCAAGAAACACTGGGCCTCTCCTAGGAAGTGCTACATGTAAGTAAAAGCTACTGAGCAGAAAGGTCCTTTTATTTCTACCACAGCCTGCTGCCCAGCACCACCACAAGATGTGCAGTGTTCAAGAAAACTCATTGCTTCACAAAAAGACTTTGACTCCCACCTTGCAGAAACGTTGCAAGAAGACAGTCACAGTAGCTACTCGCTTCTGTGAACCAATGAACCTTCCTGGTCTACTATTTGATTTCTAGTAATCTAAAGTTAAACAACACAGATCAAATGTACTTTCTAAACTGAAGCATCACAAATTCCTTTTTGGACATTTTTTTTTAAATATGCTGCGCTCAGTAGGCCATTTTGGCCATTCAACAGCTTAAATGCCAACTGTCCCCTTTAGGTTACTAGGGCACAGGGACAGCATGCAATACGTACGCAGATTCTCTGCTTCATACCCCTACTAGTACAGAAGGATAAAAGTCCCCACAGTGCTGAAGACACCCTTAGAAGCATGACCAACTCCATCAGCATTCAATTACTGAAGTAAAAATATATGCTAATTTCTCTTTTCAAAGTCACAGAAACAAAAAAACCCCACTGCAAACACCTGAACTATTTAAGACTGAAGAATTAAAAGCCCCTAACTTCACATTTGCCAGATCTTTAGTATGTTTATTGAGGCTTTCCCATGGACATTTAAAATCATAATTTAGAACAGAGTGTTTTATTATCACTAAATAGTATGACCTGTGTCTAAATCTCAAGCTACCTACTTGAATATACATTTCATACATCTGAATTTCTCTTATAGAGAAAAGAGAATCCCATTCATATGTGAGAGAAAAGATTATACAAGATGAAAGCCTGTTTGGATGTTAGTGTGCAAGTTAAAGTCAAGTCTAATACTTACATCCCTCATGTTGTGATGGGCCACAGTGCGATCTACATTGCGAGAGGGCAGATTTGCAGTTGCTTTGAGAATAGCATCCTTATCAGGAGCTTTCTGCTCTTGTTTCCTCTGAAGGATAGGAAACATGATCAGGTTTCATAACCCATTATCCACAGAACGGAAAAGACAGCCAAGGCATCAAGCAGTATGCTGTAACTTGCAACTAAGAGAAGGAGCAGTCTAGCAATGCAGTGGATTAACAGCACCAGTATAATTTTGCAATTATTGAGCAAAACTGGATCTGTTGGGTTGCCCCACTTCCATTCCTTATACCTATTTACGATACCTAAACACGCAGGGAAATTTCAGCGTAAAGGGGGAAAGTAAGTTCTCTCCGTGTTTGATAAATCAGAGGCCTCAGTGGCCAGGACCTCATTCTGCTCCACATGGTCTGCCCACAGCACTCTTCAAACCCGTGGTTTGTCGAGAGACGTACCAATACTGTGCACAGACTAACACTTAACTGCTTAACGCTGGAAGTGCCTCACCGCTTGCAGGGATCATGCAGAGATATATGGTGCCTTGGATTTTCAGTACATGCTTATAGTCCAGGACAAAACATAGCAGGGTACAAACTCTAAGTATTTCCCAGTCTTATAACTTATGCTCTTACAGTGACATTCTGCACAGCAAGACCATACTGAAGAAAGAGACGTACACCAACACCTACAGGAAGGGATACAAACACATACACCAAAACCTACAGGAAGCAAGAAGAAACAAAGCTGTGCAAGAACAAAGTAGAGACCTAGAAATTCACAGTGTCAAGCACAAGCACAGCTCAAAGCATTTATGCGGTAACATCAACTGCAGTCCCACTCATGCATAAGCATCATCCTGGGCATCACTGACCCTCAGTAACAATTACAGTCCGATAAAATAAAATAATAGTAGGGTACCAGCACTTCAGCTCTAGGGACCTGGCTAGAGTGTGACAAGCCACACACAGATAAAGACCGAAGACAGCCTAACAGCAAATCAAGATACTTCTGTTGGGTTTTCAAACACAGGCAAAACAAGGCACTTGCTCAACAATGCTTATATAGTTATTAGACGTTTGTTCAAAGATCAAAAGTATACCACTTCCACAGATTGTAACAGCATGTCTTATTTTAAGGCAAGCGTTCTTGCAATCAAAGTTAAAAATGGAAAAATCAGCTTCCTCCAAGTCTGGAAGAAACATGAAATAATTTCCCTAGAATTTAACTGGCAGCAATTGCCTCTACAAACAGAGTACACCACAATAATCCTTCCACAGCTCATTAGTAAAGCAGTTAATTAAAAGCACCAAGTGAAAAAGTCTTTCAAACTCACTTTCTCCTCTGCTGACACGTCTGCCATCTTGGGGAGTGGAGGTGGTGCACGCTTCTTTATCAAAAGCAAGACATCTAGAAAGAGAATGATACTGAAATACATTAGAAAGTAATGCAAAAGCAGTTCTTGTAAGATATTTCACAAATTCTATCTTTCCTGGAGATGAATTTTTTGTTAATTCCACTGTAGCATCAGATCTTTTTCCACACTTTAAAACCTGTAATGGCTCTATGCACTCCCTTTCAGTGTTTGCAATTCCTTAGTGCACAGTGAATTCAAAACATGGTCCATTATTAGATACACTTGGAATGTTACGGGTTTCTTCTCACACACCGTTAAAGAAACGGTATTACAGGCTCCAGTTGTCTTGTACACTAATAGTACATCAATTGGCTCATCAGAATGAGAAAGCATCTGCACTTCCAGTGCTTCCACTGAGAAGGAAGCAGTAGAGACAGGCCACGGATGGGTTTTGGTCTAAGCTGGGGACTTCCTTCAATTGCAGCAAGGCAAGGGCCAAGCTTCAACAAGAACTTCCAGTACCAGGCTGAAGCTCACCTTTGTGTGCGAGCGGCAGTAGAGCAATTCATGGTCTACTGCAGGGAGACATCACTGGCAGCAAGTCTCGAGGGCAAACAAGTCTCAGATATCTCATATGACCTGGCAGGAGCTTGACTTGGGCTTTTAAGCCTAATGCCTTCCCCTTCCAAGGCACTCTTTCTAAACATCACGTGGCACTTCACAAGTTTGTAGCACCTCAGTTACTACCACGTATGTTCTAAGGGTAGAGAGATGCAGACACACTGCTTAGAGCCCCAAACGGGCCTGTGCAGCGTCTGCAGCTCTTCAGCCAGATAAAGCCTGACGTGTAGTTTCTACTCTGTTGCATGAAGCAGGTAAAGAGCAGAGAAAGCACGCTTTGCACAACAAGTGTCCCTGGTCTGGCTCAGCATATCACAGCCAAGAGCAACAGCTGGTGAAGGCTGTTAACCCTCGTTTGTCCAGCTGATCAGAATGTGAAAGGATCCCCGTGCTGACTCTTGGCTGCCCTGTGCAGTCAGCTGGTGGCAGTCAGCTGCTGGCTGGGATTTTGTCTCCCTGACAAGCCAGGCACATGAAAAAGAGCACACTGCAGAGGGAAAGGGAGCAAAGAGGCAGTCGCATGACAGCTTACTAGGACTACAGAGTTAATACTGCTTAGCTGCTGCAAGCTGCAATTCAAAACTCTGTAGGAGCCGGCACCTCGCCTAGAAATAATACACCACCAATCAGCAAAAATGCTGTCCCTTGCCTTTGCCTAAGATAGCACTTCTCAGCTCCTGTTCAGCTCTAAAGGTGATAGGTGACACTGCATTAGAAGAGACACCGAAGTGCTTGTGTTCACAGCAGCAGTTCTCCAGCCTGCACAAACTCAGGAATAAACCCGGAGGACTCTACTCCTGATGAGTTTCTGATTCAGGACAGTATTTCAGCCTCCAGCAACCCTGCTTCTCTCACTTTCTGCACCACTGCCCTTTATCTCCAGATAGGGCAATTAGCTTAAGTTCTGTAGCAAAAACTGACCCCAGCTGTCATCTTCAGATCTTCTTTTGTTTCACATTAATCCTTTACACCTTTAAACTTCAGGAGCAAATACATACCTGTCCTGGTTTTGGCTGGGATAGAGCTAATCTTTCTTCTTGGTAGATAGAAGTGCTGTGTTTTGGATTTGGTACGAGAAGAATGTTGGTAATACACTGATATTTTCAGTTGTTGCTAAGAAATCAAGGACTTTTCAACTTCCCATGTCCTGCTCGTGTGCAGGTGCACACAAAGGTGGGCGGGAGCACAGCCAGAGCAGCGGACCCAAACTGGCCAGTGGAACATTCCATATCATGTAACATCATGCTCAGTCTATAGATGAGGGTTGATCGGGAAGCTCTCACTCTTCCAGGATCGTGGGTTTGGGATTTTCCCTCCTCTGGGATCACTGGGCTGGGCATTTGCCAGCAGGTGGTGAGCAATCGCATTGCACATCACTCATTTGTAAATTCTATTATTACTATTATCATTATTATTTCAATTTTAATTATTAAATTGGTTTTATCTCAACCTACAAGTCTCCTTGCCTTTACCCTGCTAATTCTCTCCCCCATCCCTGGGGCAGGGGAGGGTGAGTGAGTGGCTGTGTGTGGTGTTTGGCTGCCGCCCAGGTTTAAACCATGATACCTCCCATACCCCACTGTGGTCAGCGATACTACAGCATGATGGATTCTGACCTACGTTTGCAGAGGACAATACTCAGCCATGATAACTATTTTTGAATCATTTTGAAGGATAATGCTGCCTGCTCTGGAGGTTTTTAAAAAAAAAAAATCCTTTCAAAGGAGATAAAAAATAATCTGTTTAATTTATTGATTTAATGAACACTCCTAAGTCCTTTTCAACTCTTGAAAGGAAGAGTGAAGAAAAGCAAACTGCTCAAGGTGCTTTCTCTGGGGAAAAAAAAGCAAAAAAGTCTTTTTCCTCTTCCTTTTTTGCCACCTACTATGTCAAAGCAAAGAGCAGACACTAAAGAGGTTACTGTTTGGAACTCATCAAATAGTTAAACACAGTCTCATGTCTCCGGGCTGACAGGATTAAAAACCAGACAATCTTACCTCTATCTTGAATGTTTTCCTCTAACACTGTTTTTGTGTCTGTCAGCACCTTCTCAGAAGTAGCATGGATCAACTTATGATGTGTCATGGTTTTTGGATCCTCCAAGCTCCCAGGTACACACTGCAGAAGATAACAAATGTTGAAGATCAGAAGACAGAAGTAAACCTCCTGCACAAATCACTGCACTTTGCACTTAAGGTTCTTCACACACAAACCATGCCATCATTTACTAGCTTCTTAATAGCTTAAGTAACAGCGCAATATGCTGGAGGCCAGTGCACAGAATGTGTTTTATTAAAGAAACTGAAGCTTGATTTGTGCTGCAACAATACTGACTGTGGTAGGTATCTATCTACCTGTATATCCAAGCTCTTGGCTGGGAAAAAATAATCAACAAAAGGAAGGATTCTACCCTTCCTGTTAAGTGAATAGCTACATTTAAGCTCCAACTTATGATGCTCTAAAAATCTTTAAACGGCCAGTTTCAAAGACCGAATGTTACAGCCCAATCACCCCAAATGAGCCCTTGAGGGCACCAGCCTATGTGAGCAGATTTATACTGTTGCAGTACAGTACATCTCTATCACACTTAATTCTGAGTGCTTGGTCCTATACTCAGGCCTACAGAGATCTGGAGCAAAGCAAGGATGCTCTAGGACCCACAGCTATGTTAATTCTGCAAGATCGCTAAGGTCACCCACTCTTAGGGAGAAGTCTGGGGGCAGCGATTAGTATCATGAACTAAGAATGCAAATCTACAAAGAGCATCCAGTGTTTTTGCAGAAGGGAAGGCTATAATAATGCAGTATGCTTCTCATTTGTAACTAGTGTCAAAATAAAGGAGAGTCTCCATCTAGTAATTGTTATTTACACACAGTCAGACTAAACAAGAAGCTGGCAGCAGTGATTTTGACCTTAAACTGAGAAGGAAAGAGCAGTTTCTGCACCTTGTTTCAAGCTGAAATGAACAGATGTGGCTGCTGGAGCCCTAACCTGGGTTCCTGCTAAAGGGCTGAAAAAAAGAGTTACATTCACAACTTTTCTTCCCAACAAGCATACAGTAGATTTTTTTCATATATGAATGTTGCACTCAATTCCTTATTACAATTCTAAATTGTAGGTCAATTAATTCACTAGGAAATCAAGTTCAAATCCTTAAAAAAGAGCGTGTGCACACACAGGCCTTGAACTGACCCATCTTCACACCAGAGTGGCTCCCAGATCCACTGTGACAGATTTCAAGAACATTACATCAGTGCATCTAGAGGCTTCTAATTGGTTTGAGTGGGAAAAGAAAGCATAGTGGTTGCAATTCCAGAAAGGCAAGATTAAAAATAACAACCTACCAAAACCACGACATTGATTCTGCTGTTCTCACCACAAAATAGGACACTTAATACTCACCTGCTCTGCTCAGAAATAGCTTTTAATGATGCTTCTTTAAATACATGTTTCTACCAAGCCACTTTTACCATGTCTGAAGAAGAGTGCGTTCACCCTTCACAGAACAGAGCCATTTCCAGAAATGCCACTGAAATCAGTGGTTCACTTTGATGTAGCATTTAGTGTGTTCATCATAATATGTATCACCAGCCTCCATCAAAGGAATCCTTATAGTCCCTCATCACCCTTTCTGTTGTGACTGTTCTTTTTCCAAACACAGCGCACTTGTTTTCAGCACAGATCTTCAGTTCCTTGTATGAACTTCTGTACAGTTGTGATGCCTCAGTAAAATTGAGCTGAGAATGTTTGAGTCCTGCTTTGTATAGCACTAGCTTCTTACTAATCCTTCAGCATATTAACTGCTGAACAAAAGCCAAAGAACACATTACAGCCTAGAAGCAGCTGGGAGTACCTCTTGTAATTGATCCAATAAGTTACACAAAATGAGTTCGAGTACATCAGCAGAACATCTCCTCTCCGCACAAACTCAAAATATTCCTGTTACAGATCTTGAGAAGGAAGAACTTGAAAATGGGAGCTGGGAGGTGTATGCTTGGGGTGGGACAGTACACAACACAGACCTATTATCCATTTTTAACCCTAGCACATATAAAGGGGGGTGTGGGTGTGCAATCATAGTACTAGTAAGGTAAAAGCCTAAGTGAAAAAATTAAAGTTGCTGTTTTAAAAGAAAAGTCCTGTGGATACCATTGTTCGTACTTACTATTCCTCTAACCTCTTTATTAACAACTGCATAGAGTAAGGCATATATGGACAGTACACACATCAAGAGACTGCTTAGTGAAATACTTAAGCTTATCTTAACATTTTAACATGCCCTGGAAATAGAAAGGCCATCTTAACAGGCAATGCCTCTACTAGCACTCAACGGCCCACCAGGAACTACCACCACTAATCAGCAGATCTCAGTGTGGAATCTTGCTTCACGAGAACCGTATCTGCAAAAATACAGTATTTTTGTATTAAATACAATGCTTTAAGGCGTAACTGAAAACATTTTCCTGTCCAGAGAGAAACCAGCACAGGTAATCCCCAGGAAGAGTGGTGAAGGGGAGAGGAATTCCCTGCACTGTGCAGAGGAAGCATTTATCACACAAGTGAAAGAAAGCTGAGAAATCAGGGGTGCATCTTGCTGCCCCAGGGCCCACCTGGGGTTAACGAGCACTGCTCCCCCAGCAATCAAAGGGGCAGCACACTGGGGAAGATGAGCTCTTTCTCATCTTTTTGTACAAAAGGATTGTAAGGAGAGGATCTGCTGTTTCATTGTTCTGCTTCCAGCATAAATATTTGCATTTATTTTTAACACTGGAGTTTACAGAAGGCTGATTTGCCACGCAGGTGAGAAACTTTTGTTCACAGGTGCCTGAGCAAGTGCTGAAATTGTAAGCCCTGGTGATGCCAAATGCCATTTGCAAAGCTCAGAATCCTGATAAACCACAAGGCTTTCTATTTGCTCTTAAAATAAGAAAAAGCATTTTTTGTTTGCTTTTATTAACAGAAGCATTTGAAAATAGTGCTGACATTCCCTACTACTAAGCTTGGGTGGCTTAAACCATCCACATCCCTCAAAGTATCCAAAACACGCCCAGGGGCATGAACCTACCTTATCTTTGAGAACTAGCACCTTGCATCTCTGTTCCACAGATACTCCTTATCATACTTTAAAACCCAGGCGAGTATCACTGAGGCAGCTTAAGAAAAAAGGGAACAGAAGCACAGAAGCATTAAAAGCTTGCCCCACGCTGCCAGGGAAATTACAGGTAAAGCTTATGTACACATACAGCCCACATTTGTGCATCCAAGTGCATGACCATAACGTACATCAGCATTTCAGAAATACTGCTGAGCCTCAGCAAGAAGCAACAGTCTCTTGTGATTAGAGTATCAGAACCAGGACTGCCTACAGCACTGCTGGCCGATGCAGTGCTGTACGGGGACTGTCAAAACCAGGCACGAGAATTATGGATCATAAAAATATTTAAGTTAAGCTTGAGCTTCCGTGGTCAAGCTGACCCTTTCTCAATTCTGGTTCTGAAATGAACAGTCGCTTTTTAAGGAAACCATGGGAGAGCTCAGGGCCTGCTCCTGCTGAGGTGGTAGGGACTTGCGCAGAGACAAGTGACTGTTCCAAGAGAACACTTTGATGGTGAAACTTGAGTTAAGAAATAACTAGGAAGACAACTTATTATTAGACATTTGTTCACAGACTACATATACAGCACTACTAAAGGCAGCAGTTTAACAACAATCACCACTAGATTGTTAGAGGTCAAGAGGTAAAACTAGTGTGTGTGGGGGGGGTTTGCCTTTTTTTGTTACATATAGCAAACACAGTTTATGTTCGTTACATAGTAACAAAGAAACCAACCCCAAAACATAAAAATCGGGCGGGGGGGGGGGGGGGGGGAGGGGGAAGGGAAGACATCAAGAGTGACACTTCAGAGCCTAATAAGCATTTGAATGTTACCAAGGGAAGAGTGGCCACCTTCCTAGTTCAAGTCTCTTACAAATATTATCTTCCTCTGCTTCCTGAAAGAAGGATTTCAAAGACTTTAGGGAACATAATAATCAGCATCTTACAAGGGATAGCTGCATAAATTATCCCAAGGTGCTATCAAGATTCATTGCAACATATCCATGATCAGAAGACATGATTTTTCCATTTCTATCCTTCCCCTTCCTAAAACTATGTATTATCCATAATGGGTATGCAAATCCACACCATTAGCACAAAGCTGCAGAGAGAAGGAAATCAAACATCATGCCAAGTTATCAATTGTCTTCTACCCTGACTCGCACTGCAAGGCAAGCCTCTATTCAATTAAGCTTCCTGATAATTAAAGGCCTTTCAGCTGCACACATATGCATGTAATGATTACCCCACCCTGTTTTGGCAGGCTGTGCACCACTCTTCTGCTTAATCACTCAGCTGAAGGGGGACAAGAGGGGAACACTAAGCTTCTTCCAGGAACATAACCAGTGTGGCGGGCCCCGAAACCCCACAACTTTCAGCAAGGCACCCCCGCTTTCCCTCAAGAAGGATCACACCTACCTCAGGCAAAGCCAACCCAAACATAGCCCTTCTCATCCCTAAATCAAAAAGCACTTACAAAGATTAAGGGACAAGAAAAACAGCCTGTGCTGTGGCCTGTAGTTTCCAGGGGTTCTAGTTGAAAGCAAACAACTGGCAGGCCTGAGGCAGAGGGCACCTGGGCTGCTGGCCACCTTACTTCACCGTGTGCTCATTCAGCAAATAAAACCTTTTACCCTTCAAATGGGGGTTAAGTAATTACATATTACAGGTATGTTCTCCTATTGCTAATGTTTTATGGAAGAAAAAAAAAATAGTCTTTGCAAGACTTTGAAGACAAAAAACACTATTAAATGTAGTTTAGTAAATTGTGCTCCCAGAGATGGGAGCAGAAGCCCTTGCCGCTCAAAAGTTACATGTTCCAGCAAAGTTCTCAGCAAGAAATTCAGCAGGTTATGACTCAAACTGCCAGACCTCGTGGTGTTGGTTTCAGAATAACAGATTTTAGGACAGTGCTAGTCACGAGTCACAACCTTACACGCTGCTGCTGTCAATCATGATTGTGCTTTAAAGACACTGTCATGGCAGATCTTTAAAATTCAACCCAGCAGTTGTGTAGCCACTGCTTTTAACATTTAACACCCACGAATACACCAGTGGTGACTGAGCATGTGAGTACAAAAAGCCTGTGTCTTCCAGCTCAACTTCTACAGACTGTGCCTGGGTATTTTTATGCATTTTCTCCTCCAGTGATTAGTAATTTACCCTTTGGATGCGTTCATTAAGACCTTACTGAGGAGAGCACAGGAAGTTCATTAGAAGAGCCTATTATCTCCCCACCGAATATCCCCCTAGCTCCTGTGCCAACACAGGGTAAGGATATACTAAGACTTTTTCCAAAAAGACAAGTTCTCCACAGTCACTACTTTCCTTGTTTGTTCTTCAATAGAAACAAGCAACAAACCAGGCTACCATTTCTGAGGAGAGCTCATCAGAAACCAGTTCACCAGACTCCTGCAACACACAGCCACCAGTTCATGAAGCACATGCAGGAGCTGTCGATCTCTGACACTGCTGCTAAACACACGCCAAATTCTGTGCCCTCTAAAGCCTCCTTTTCCAACATATGACACTCTTGAAATGTGTGCTTTTCTTTCTATACGGCACAGTTTCACATGATGAGGGGGTGGCGGACATGGAGAACCAGGAAATCAGAACATGAAAACACTTATTTGAGGGGTTTTTTTGTCTTTAAAAAAAGCCGATTACAGGGTGTTGGGGAAAAAAAAAAAAATAAAAAAAATATCCGTTTCCTTCACACGGGGACTTGGCTGCCCTTCCCTTTGACCATGATTTGGGGGCCCAGCCCAGCCCCGGAGATTTCGGCGCTGTCCCCGCCTCACACCCGCCCCGGGCTCGCCGCTCCCTCCCGCACCGCACCGACCCTCTGCCCACCCGGGGGCTTCCCGGGGCCACAGCGCAGCTCCGGGAGCCCACCGGGGCAGCCGCCAGCCCCGGGGTGGGGGGGACGGGACCCCCCCCCGCTCCTTACGTGCTTCAGGCATCGCTCCTTCAGCTTCTCCACCGTGGTGTCCTCGGGGACCTCCTCCAGCCACTCGGCGCCCTCCACGGTGCACACATGGAGCCTCAGCACCTTCCCCGCGAAGATCTTCTCCTCCTGCACGAACATGGCCCCGGTCCCCGCCGCTCTCGGGCCCCGCTCTGTCCCGCCGACGCCTCACCAGGCCCCGGGCACCACAGTGCTACCGCCCGCCCATGAAGGTGACCCCGCCAGGCCCGAGGGCAGCGGCGGGCACCGGCTGGGCCGCGCTGGGAGAAGGGGAGAGGGGAGCTTGGCTGGGGGGGGGGGGGCGGTCCCGGCGGAGCTGCCCCAGCCCCGCCGCCGCTCCCGTCACCGCCGCGGCCCGGCCGTCCCTCCGCGGGGACCGGCGCTCCCGCGGCGGCCGGAACCGGAAAGGTGGTGCGCCGCCGTGCATGCTGGGAGATGTAGGTTTTTTTCCCCCTCCCACCGCTGTGCCGGAAATAGCCCCGCACGGAGGAACGTTTTGGAAAAAAACTGGTTTTCTAACGTTTATGAACGGCTACACAAAAAAAAAATAAAAAAAAGAAGAAAATATTTCTTAAAAGAGTGTTTTCCCAGCACGCTGTGGGAATGACAGCCTCTCCCCTCTCCCCCTGAGCACTGTGGGAACTGTAGTCCTCCTCTCCCGGTGCCCCCTGGGAGTTGTAGTCCTGAGGCGCCGAGGCCTGGGCCGAGTCGCGCCCGGTCGGCGCTGAGGGAACGAGCGACCCCGCGGACACCGGGGGTTGGGGGGAGCCGGCGGGGGGGGCTCGGCGGGGGCCTACGCTCCGCGCCCGGGCGGGATGGCACCCGCGGGGGGACGCGGCGTTCCCCCGCCCGCCGTTAGAGGGGGACCGCGAGCTGCCGGCGGCGCGGAGCGTGGTTCTGCTTGTCTGTCTGTCTGTCCGTCCAGATCTGCCTGTCCGGGCCCGGCCCGCCTGGTCCCAGTCTGGAGCGAACTGTCCCCGGGTGCTGCGGGGCGCGGCGACTCATTGCCCGGGGAACGCGAGATATTTGAGAGTAATCCATAATAAAACGGTGGTTGCGCGCTTGCAACGCAATAGGCTGTGTCTGATTATCACCTGCAGCCGACAGGCTGTGGGTTTTTTTGGTGTTAAATACATCGTTTAAGGGAGCTTGAAATAAAAAAAAAAAAAAAAGTGCTGTAGCTATAGCTGTTGTTTTTTTATGTGTGTGTTAAATGGAGCTGTACTTGTGTAGAAAATAAGAATATGTCATCGTTTCATCTCTGAGAGTGAGCGCTGCCATAGTCATGTTACACTCTCTGTCTGGAGTTGGTTGAACGGCAGCTAAAGCGCTCTGGAAGAAATAAATCCAGACGGAATTAGCAGACCCAGAGACAATAAAGGCAATAAAGTGTTATGTGAGAAGGAGCTGAGTGCTCTGGAGAGCCAGAATTCGATCGCAGCGAAAAGCAGATTTAGTTTTGGGTTGTCAAAAGCGGTAGGTGCTGCGGAAACCCCGACCCAGGAGTGCATCTCAGGGGGTCTTTATGCTCATACCGTGCTGGACCAGCAACTCCCAGGAGTCAGACAGGAGATTTTCTTTCCCGCTATCCAAGATGCAAACGAATCCCTTTTTCTGCAACCATTGCTGGCTTGCCGGGCTCAGTCACCAGCTCCCAGAGCCCATGAGAGGGAGCAAGTTCCCCCTCAATAAATTCCATGCCACCAGCAGCTCACTTTGGGGACAACCCGAAGGAGTTTTTGCCCCCCACAAGCGTGGCCGTGGAGCCGTGGGGGGCTGACATGAGGGGAAGGCACAGCAGTGGGGTCACCCCAAGTCCTGCCCTTGTGAGGGAGCGAGCGGGAAGCCCCGGCTGAGCACCAGCGTCCCCGGCCACGGAAGCCACCCTGCGTGGGCCGGGGGGCTGGCAGGGTGCTGGGTGCCCTGCCCAGGGAGAACCTCTCTTTTCTTCTCATTACCGGCGTGATTTTGCTCGCTGCAATTTTTCCCGCTTCACGGGGCGGGGAGCTGGAAGTCTGGACGCCGACTTGGGAAGGCGACTCTCGGTGACGGTGACCCCGACAGCCACTCTCTCTGTGGGGGAGAGCAACGATAACGTTTTGCTAGGAGCTATTTTAAAACAGCAAAGAAACATCGGGTGATTTCACGGCAGGCTAAATTCAGTTGTGTGCTCTTAGTGTGGGGAGGATGCGTGGATGTTACACAGCCATAAAGGGGGCTCTTAGCAGTCGCTACTGCAAGTAGAAGCAAAATTTGGAGATGAATCTGGAGCTGAAGCAGAAAAAAAGGAGATTTCTGTTTTCTGGCCATATCTTGCGTCGAAACAGTGCTCGCCTAACACAAGTGGAATACTTTATTTTCATGCTTTGAATGCAGCTCCTGTGTGCTTGATAAAATGTACCCATAAAATTGCAAATACAAGGCAATTTGACTACTGATGGCTAATGCATCATAACGGCTAAGGAAATGTGAGCATTTAAAAATACCCCATTTAAACACCGGGCATTACCTCCTTTACTTGCACTATAGCAGAATAAATAAACAATATGTGTGTATTATGTTGATATTGTCCAAAGCCAAAAGAATGAGTGCACAATGTGTTACTTGCTTTTTATGACTGATCCATTACACCCAACACACAATGTGTGAATGAGAAAAGGGGGAAATCAACAGCTATTTTCCTTTGAGAAATGGCTCCTTTTGTTTTACGTCTCCAGGTGAATTATTTTCCGTGATTGCATCTAGCAGCAGGAACCTCCTGCCTTACTGGGAGTGAGACGAGTCCCAGGGAAGATGGTTGGAAGACTCCACTGATTCGATGTTTGCAGGCATTGGCCTGGGGGTTACCCCACGTTATGGGGGGGAGCAGACCAGGGGAGGGGGGACGGAGCCCACCCACAGTCAAACATCCCGTGTTCAGGCTCACTGGACCGTACTTAGGGAGCAGTGTAACATTGGCGTTGACTCCTACAAGAACCAAAGAGGAGGGATGTGGAAGCAGGCGCTGCTGCCTAGGCTCTCCTTTGGTGCAAATTGGAGCAGTTTTGGGACTGCTCTGCTGCCTGCAAGTCATTTGTGGCTCTCTTAGTGGCTCTCTTAGGACTCCTTGGCACACTCGGGGCACTGGCTGAACTCCTCCTGGTCTGATTTCTTCTGCTGCAAGGACTCCAAGGAGCTCGTTGCAGACCGCCAGTGCTGGAGGAGAGGGGACATCCAGCTCAGGGAAATCCATACCAGCCAACCCCCTAATCTCTTTTAAATTGTCTGAGAGTGGGAGGCATAAAAGAGAGTGAAAATTACACACACCCCCCACAAGCTTTTCCTGGGCAATCTCAGAATTTATTGAGACAACTCCTGTGGGATGCTACATCATGTCATCCAAGACTTGTGTATCGACTCTCTTTTCCTGCTGCTGCTGAGTGAAGAAATATGATAGCGGGAGGGATAATGAAGCAGACATGTTTTCTTCAAATCAAACCGGTTCTCTCTTAAGATGGGATAAAAGGGTAAAGAACTTTCCCTTCGCGATATTTTTCTCAGTAATGTGTTTTGACAATTTAATTTAGAAGTCATAGAGTAGCGAAGACAAAGTCACCCGGTGGGTGGACATTGGAGAGTTCAGTTGCCTTTGTGATGAATTGGTGATAGTACAGAGATGACAAAACAACACAGGGGGACAAGAAGGAGGCTGGCAGCACTGTCGGCAACATGCACAGGATAAATTGAACACTACACTTCATCCAGGAGCTTCAATAGTCCCAGGCATCCCGATATAATTTATGAATTGCAATTAGCATTTTATTATGGCTCGGACTTGAGCTGCGCACCTATCACTTGGGTTCAGGTTTTGCAAGAGTTGCAGAGCGAAGTTTTTGTAAGTTTAAAGTACCTATTTATTTAAATTAAAGCAATAAATATGCTCAAGAGGTTGCTTTCCTATTTCTAAGCTGCAGAGGCTGAGAGTGTGGATTTCTTGCGGAGGCTTCTTGGGACGCTGGCTTGCGTGGCTCTCCTCACCTGGGCTGCGGCAGCACACGCGTGTGTCCTGCTTGTGTTTGACAGCCTGTCCCAGGAGTGCCGCGGGAGCGGGTGCAGGATCTCCAGCAAAGCAGCCAAGGGCAGCACCAGGATCTCTCTGCACCCAGCAGCTCCAGTACGGAACCTCAGCTGTGCCCATCGCGGCCGAGCCAGTGCCTCGCCGTACCGCGGAGGAGCCCCCGCTCTCACCCGCTCTCTGAGCCACGTCTCTGTGTGGCTCCAAAGCCCCGCGGATGCTTTGAGGCTGATGGGTCCCATCCCAGATTTATTTCTCTTTTTCTGAGACGTGGAAACTTCTGTCTCTTACCCCTTAGCAACTTCCCCGGTCAGATGGCGGAGGAGCAATCGCTTCTCCTGTTCCCCTCTCCATCCCAGCTGGGGAAGCAGCACCCTTCTGCTTCCCCTTCCCTGCAAACAGAGGAATATCTTTAAAATCTTTCTTAAAACAGTGTCTTAAGTTGGAAACCGGAAAAAATTGTGGGCAATATCCATCAGGGTGTCATCGCTGGCACCGGTTCAGGACCTGCAGCACCCCAGGACCTCTCTGCCCCATCCAGCTTCGCCTGCAGCGGCGGCAGCTGACGCCTCAGTACAGAAACACGCAGATCTGTTGTACAATTTAACTCTGGAATCACGCTGGAAGGCCCCTGACTGTGCTCCAAACGACTCTGTAGGTTGTTATAAATATACAAAGCTTTTTTGTGGGGATATTCATGAAATTCTATCACCGCTTACCCGGTGGCTGGTAATGGCCTTGTTTATGTATGGGCTCTATACCTGGCTTTGCAGCCTCTCCAAACACAATTCTATTACCGTGTTTAACTGCTCTATCAGTGTAGTACTTAGCGCTCTCTGCTTTCCAGCCCAGCTCCTTAATGGCCAGGGAAGGTATTAGGCGCTGCAGTTTGTGAGTATTCAAAAGAAAGTTCAAATCTCACGATGTCTTTATTTTAAAATTCATGGAATTTCTAAGTACCAACTTCTAAGCCATGACCAAATAGTCATTTCTTTCTTAAACAGCCTTTTATTTTCCCCTCTTTCCCCCCACCAGCTGACTTGCTCTCGCCAGTTTTGCGGGACCCGCAGCTCTGCGGGTGCCAGTCCCCACCAGTCCCACCGCATGGACCCCCGCCACCCTCCTGGTCCCCACCAGCTCTTTTTTCCCCGAGAACAGGCGCAGTGTGACTCTGCCCACGTTGACAGGAGGGCATTGCTATGGGAGCGCTGGCGGGAGGGGTCACTTTGGGGGTTTGCAGGTGGCGTGGGGCAGGGGACTACCCCTGTCCTCCCCGAGGAATGCCAGGGTGGGCAGCGGCCAGGGGAGCAGAGACAAGGGGGAAAAAAGAAT